TCGCTTGTAGGTTGGAGGCCATTGCTATTAGGTTGGAGGCCATCGCTATTAGTTTGGAGGCCATCGCTATTAGGTTGGAGGCCATCGCTATTAGGTTGGAGGCCATCGCTATTAGGTTGGAGGCCATGGCTTGTAGGTTGGAGGCCATCGCTTGTAGGTTGGAGGCCATTGCTACTAGGTTGGAGGCCATCGCTTGTAGGTTGGAGGCCATCGCTATTAGGTTGGAGGCCAGCGCTACTAGGTTGGAGGCCATCGCTATTAGTTTGGAGGCCATCGCTATTAGTTTGGAGGCCATCGCTATTAGTTTGGAGGCCATCGCTATTAGCTTGGAGGCCATCGCTATTAGTTTGGAGGCCATCGCTATTAGGTTGGAGGGCATCGCTTGTAGGTTGGAGGCAATCGCTATTAGGTTGGAGGCCATCACTATTAGTTTGGAGGCCATCGCTATTAGGTTGGAGCCTATCGCTATTAGTTTGGAGGCCATCGCTTGTAGGTTGGAGATGGTTGGAGGCTACTTGGGAAAAGGCCATTAAGCTTGGCAACCGGGGCTGTGTGAGACTGACATCGAGGTGCACAGTGTGGCAACTCTGGGCGGCAATATGCCTCGAGCCCGATCCCCTTAAAGTATCTTCAAGATCTGAGGCCGTGAGAGACCTTCTTGATTCTTAACCACTTCTTTGGGGTTCAACTCTGTGCCCTGCCTAAGCAAGGTCAAGAAAAGTCGGTGACCCCACACCCTTTGGAGTATGGCTCAAACACAATCGGCTTCAGTGGTGGCGTTTTGGTCGGGTCTGAAATTCAGTGGTTGGCTCGTGCAGACCATGACCGATTCTTGAGGCTTTCGTAAAAGAAATCTCTCCGTACTTCTTCCGATCGGAGAGATTTCTTTAAACCACCACCCTGTTCTTGATTAAGAATAGGGTGGTTTGTAACCCCCTATTTATAATAGCTTGCAATTGTGACGTAGATTCTTGATGAATCAACCCCCCTATTTATAAGAGGTTCTTCAATTCAATTGGGGGTTGGTTATGGGTGGTTTATTTAAAGAGTAAGGCACCTGTTACTACTACTAGTAAGGCACTTGTTACTACTAGCGTGGCACGTGTTACTAGTAGCTTTCTTGTTACTACTAGTAAGGCACTTGTTACTA